TTCACTTCCCCGACTGATCCTTTGAATAATAATAATGATAATTTTTACAAGAGGTCGGAGGCGGATAATACTTTAATAACGAAGGTACGTGTTGGGTCGTAAGTATCCACGCAAACACACATCCAGTCATAATAAGGCACTTGTCAAAGTATCCGAACGTTTTCGGTCCCTTCTCATCAAGGATTTTACAGGGAATGGCTCAAGTTGGAAAGACTAAAACCTATATAGCGTAAAGATATGAGATAACAACACTCGTGACAAGGTGGAAAATTATCAAGTAAGTTCAGCACGACACAAAGCTTTGTATATCCGTAAGTAATTAGTTAGATCCTGAACTTTGCGTACAGAAAGAAAATGTGTTGTCGTTACTCCTCGTCGAGGTGTTAACAATGTAACTTAATTTGCTCACTATATTGTTGTCACTATTATTATTTCCTTCGAGTTTTGTGTCGTGCTGAACTTGATAATTTTCCACCTTGTCACGAGTGTTGTTATCTCATATCTTTACGCCATATAAGTTTTAGTCTTTCCAACTTGAGCCATTCCCTGTAAAATCCTTGATGAGAAGGGACCGAAAACGTTCGGATACTTTGACAAGTACCTTATTTTGACTGGATGTGTGTTTGCGTGGATACTTACGACCCAACGCGTACCTTCGTTATTAAAATAATAATAATAATGATAATAATTTGGAAAGGATTGGGAGAACTTCAAATTCAAAGGATCAGTCGGGGAAGTGAACTGCCTGAAAAGAGAAAAAAACCCGTGTCCTGGTGGGTCTGGCGTTTTTTTTCTCTTTTCAGGCAGTTCACTTCCCCGACTGATCCTAGCCTTTGAATAATAATAATAATAATAATAATAATTTTTTTTTTTTTTTTTTTTTTTTTTTTTTTAAGTGCAAGCCTCTTTTACGGGCAAAAATTAACACAATGTATTAAAATGCAATACAACATACACTGGAGAAGAAATCAGGAAAATAAAATATGAGCTCAAAAATGGAACGAAAAATAGCAAATAGAATCAAAACTCACGATGGAATCAAACTCACGATGGAATCAAACTCATGATGGAAACTACAAAACCCAATGAGTTGGAAAACCAACCACAGAATTAGATATTGGGAATAGAGTCAGACACAACAACGACCGAAATCAGTACACCAAAAATCTGTCCTACAAAAAAACAAAGGAACAAGAAAAACAAGAAAGACGAAGTACAAAGAATCCCCAAAAAAAAGAGGGGAGAACGGGATGAAAGAGGACCGGACAGCGGCAAACCCCAGGAGGACTTAGCGTCACGTAGTGGCGGGAATGCGGGCCTCCACAGAAACAGCATCCACATCCGCCGCCAGACCAGGTGCACGGAATGCACGGCGACTCCCACGAACCATCAGGACGGAGTCGCGGACAAGGCTGAAAGCCAGGTCCGTCCGCAGCTTTCCCATCACGAGGGGATAAGGCTGCGAGAGCTTGGTGGAGAGCTTCGTTCCGAGCAGCTTCAGGAACCGGGTGGCCTCCTTCGCCAGGGCACCAGCGGAAGACAGGACGATCGGGGTGAATGACATAATAATAATAATAATAATAATAATAATTTGGAAAGGATTGGGAGAACTTCAAATTCAAATGATCAGTCGGGGAAGTGAACTGCCTGAAAAGAGAAAAAAACGCCAGACCCACCAGGACTCGAACCTGGGACCCTGCTTGTCATGAGCAATGCTCTAACCACTGAGCTATGGGACCAGGCTGAACCTAGAAGGCGCTGACAAGTTTTTCACTCCAAAGGCAGCTCACAACGCGTGCCATACATACTGATGGCACTTGGGTCTTTTTCCCTCCCCCAGGGGACCAACCACGGTCAGTTTCTGGAAACTACCAGAGGTGAAAGAAAGTGATTAAATTTGGAAAGGATTGGGAGAACTTCAAATTCAAATGATCAGTCGGGGAAGTGAACTGCCTGAAAAGAGAAAAAAACGCCAGACCCACCAGGACTCGAACCTGGGACCCTGCTTGTCATGAGCAATGCTCTAACCACTGAGCTATGGGACCAGGCTGAACCTAGAAGGCGCTGACAAGTTTTTCACTCCAAAGGCAGCTCACAACGCGTGCCACACATACTGATGGCACTTGGGTCTTTTTCCCTCCCCCAGGGGACCAACCACGGGAAAACTTGTCAGCGCCTTCTAGGTTCAGCCTGGTCCCATAGCTCAGTGGTTAGAGCATTGCTCATGACAAGCAGGGTCCCAGGTTCGAGTCCTGGTGGGTCTGGCGTTTTTTTCTCTTTTCAGGCAGTTCACTTTCCCGACTGATCATTTGAATTTGAAGTTCTCCCAATCCTTTCCAAATTTAATCACTTTCTTTCACCTCTGGTAGTTTCCAGAAACTGACCGTGGTTGGTCCCCTGGGGGAGGGAAAAAGACCCAAGTGCCATCAGTATGTGTGGCACGCGTTGTGAGCTGCCTTTGGAGTGAAAAACTTGTCAGCGCCTTCTAGGTTCAGCCTGGTCCCATAGCTCAGTGGTTAGAGCATTGCTCATGACAAGCAGGGTCCCAGGTTCGAGTCCTGGTGGGTCTGGCGTTTTTTTCTCTTTTCAGGCAGTTCACTTCCCCGACTGATCATTTGAATTTGAAGTTCTCCCAATCCTTTCCAAATTTAATCACTTTCTTTCACCTCTGGTAGTTTCCAGAAACTGACCGTGGTTGGTCCCCTGGGGGAGGGAAAAAGACCCAAGTGCCATCAGTATGTGTGGCACGCGTTGTGAGCTGCCTTTGGAGTGAAAAACTTGTCAGCGCCTTCTAGGTTCAGCCTGGTCCCATAGCTCAGTGGTTAGAGCATTGCTCATGACAAGCAGGGTCCCAGGTTCGAGTCCTGGTGGGTCTGGCGTTTTTTTCTCTTTTCAGGCAGTTCACTTCCCCGACTGATCATTTGAATAATAATAATAATAATAATAATAATAATAATGATTTTTTTAAAAGAGGTCGGAGGCGGATAATACTTTAAAACGAAGGTAAGTTATGGGTCGCAAATATCCACGCAAACACACATCCAGTCATAATAAGGCACTTGTCATAAGTATCCGAACGTTTTCGGTCCCTTCTCATCAAGGATTTTACAGGGAATGGCTCAAGCTGGAAAGACTAAAACTTATATAGCGTAAAGATAATTAGATAACAACACTCGTGACAAGGTGGAAAATTATCAAGTTTAGCACGACACAAAACTCGAAGGAAAATAATAATAGTGACAACAACATAGTGAGCAAATTAAGTTACATTGTTACCACCTCGACGAGGAGTAACACCAAACAATTGTAGCGACAACTCATTTTCTTTCTGTACGCAAAGTTCAGGATCTAACTTACGGATATACAAAGCTTCTAACACAGCCAAATGTAACGCACATCTACCACGTGACAATATTGAGAAAACATTATCACTGTACAACTCACGACAATTGGTACGGGCTGACAGATGTTGCTTGATTGACGAAGTGCGATTCTTAGCTCCATTAAGTTTTAGTCTTTCCAGCTTGAGCCATTCCCTGTATAATCCTTGATGAGAAGGGACCGAAAACGTTCGGATACTTATGACAAGTGCCTTATTATGACTGGATGTGTGTTTGCGTGGATATTTGCGACCCATAACTTACCTTCGTTTTAAAATAATAATAATAATAATAATAACATACAAAACATGCATTGCGCATACCAGAACAAGTACAAAAAGTCATGTACATGTGTCATGTACATGTACCAATGCTACATTTTCTGCCTGCACTAGTACTAGTAGTACTAGTACTACAGCTGTAGTAGTATCCCCGAACCACACAGCCACTCCTGCCCAAAAGGTACAGTGTACAGTGTACAGTGTACAGTGTACTGTGTGGTCGATATAATATGGGCCACACCAGGCGTTCCTGACAATAAGGTTGACACCTTGACGGCTGCTAGCTCACAGTACAATCATCAGTCATGCAAACGCACTTCGTACACCAAGCCACGTGGAGCAAGGCTCGTTTGCTTCAATCTGATTATGGTCAACTCAACGCCTTTGCCGTTGGCATCCTGCAGTCCAGACCAAGGGCAAGGAGTTGAGGATTCTCGGCACTCTGTGTGTGCATCCTTTGCAACCCTAGGCAAGAGTGGAAGGCTGTAGGCGTAGAAGTGCTGGTCTTGCCCTCATAACAAACAAGAGTCCTCATTTCATCGCTACAACAACACACGTACACATACTAGTAATTATTAGAATCTGATACATGTATTAAAACCTTGTTTGTTCAAACATGTTGGTTGACAGCGTGTAAACAAGGTGGAGGACACGGTGTTCGGAAACCACCAACCGTGGATGGTTGTAGAAAAGGTCACTGTTTCCGAACACGGTGTTCTCCACCTTGTTTCATGCTGTCAACCAACAACAACACACATGCACCAGCAGGTGATCGACAAGACCACAAACACCTGACAACATTACTTTGTCGAGATTACATGACCTGGTAAGGGGCAGCTATTAGTATTACACGTCCACGAAAAATGCCGACAACGGAGCTTGCCAAGTGAAACACTCCTTTTTCTCGTTGGTTTTCGATACCGACTTCTCGACGAAGGCAAAAGAAAAGAAGGAAGCTCCGGTGTTTCAACGTTTGACTGACTCATCAGTTTACATAATCATTAATTTTTGACAATGACTATCTCTATGCAGTCGCACCATACCAGGGACTAGACAGTCTACAGGCGCTAGGCAGTACTGATGAAACCCGATAGCCATTGCGGCAAACTGGAATGGGCGGGTACCATAGCCAAAAGAAATGCACGGATCGCCATAACACTATTTTATTAATAGCAGTCAGTACAGCTCAGCATCTACCGTGAAACGGAACTAAAGCCATGGCCGGCCTGGGCATGGTCAGTAAAGCCTAGGTAGGCAGATCTACTGGAGTACTTACTACTAGTAAGTAGTATGTAGCCTGTAGAGTGTAGTACATAATCACGGACAGCAGCTAGCAGAACTATGCCCGTCAAATGTCGTCAAAGCAAAGTTTGTTGCCTGGATGTCCTGAGTGAGAGGAAGACGAGAGATCTTGCTTTGCAGCGGAGACTAGGTAGACCTCACTCCGACTTGTGACTCTACAAGCTCCTCTGCAATCTGCATGCCGTGTCGCAGTTGAGTTCATTGTCTCGTCGAAGGACTACTAGTATTGTCGAGCTTACAAGGTACTGCAAGGTACTGCATCGTCGGACAGAAAGTGCTGGTCTGTGAATATCAGTAGCCTTCAAGTATTTCCTGCTTCCGACTCGTGGCAGTCGTTCGAGGAACTAAAGTGTAATTTTCAACTCATCCCAGGTCTCACTAATCCCAGCCTGTCGAAACCGACGCGAAACTTCGAAATCACGTCGAAATCCACGGTCAACTATGCGGGCGTGTGACAGTTTCGGTAAGAAAGCACTAGTGGAAATTGTTTACCTCAAATCAGCCTCTTGTTTAGCGATGCGTGACTGCATTCCCTCTTGAGTAAATATCTACATGTATTAGTAACTACTTGAGTACTGCCCTCTGCAGTTCTTCAGCAACCCATGCGTGTGTTCCGCATGTGCAGGGAGACTTTACTCTTTAGACCCAACTACGAATTGGGACCACTCAAGATTGTTTTGCTTCAACACATACCTGTTGATTGTCTCCGCTGCCGGAAGGATCTCTGCGTTTTTCGAGCCCTGGCCTGCCATCTGTAGAACTAACTGTTACTACTCAGAAGTGCGTTCTCACCGCGGCGTATTCAACCACTGAACCAGCTACCGCGTGTAATGAAAAATGCCGGCACATGTGAATGTCCATGATTTGCTCAATCTGCGGATAGCATGCTGTTTTGTCCTTTGTGGACTCATCAGCGCTGCACGGCCGAACCTGATAGCAATGAAGAATAAATCCATCCTCCCATGGTTTGCATTGATTTTCCTTTGACTGATTTTTGTGTTTCGTGGCTAGTTGCGGGGAAGGGTGTTGCGACGTTCTCCTTCATCGCGGCGCTGTTCCTTGCAGCTCTCTCAGGCTTCACCCAAGGCAGTAAGTACTACATGTAGTTCGTAGTAAGGAGAGTGCAAGTGGGGAGTGAAGTAGTATGACCTCTGGGTTCAATACAAAGTAAATAAAAGTTCTAAAAGGCCAAAACCATGAAAGCATAACACGGACAGACCTGCTACTACATGTAAATACAAAATGTACTTGGGTAAGGTCATTGTGACTTTTTTACATGTAACAGTTATAATTATATAGCAGCAAGTAAGTTATGCAGTCAAATAAAATGGCCGGACTGAGATGGATAGTAGCTCATATTATTCCCGTAGCTATGCAGAAGACGTTACTTCAGTAACGTCTGGCGCTAGCCAGGGTCCACACAGCTTTAATTTGGTGTTTGTTTGTTGGTGAGTTTGTGTCACGCCTGGCGCTATGCCGTATCTGTCCCGTACCGTACCGTACCATCAAACACAGCTGGCCACATACTGCTGGCCGCAAAATTCAAATAGGGTTTTCAAACGCAAGATCATAACGTGAAGCAACTTGGAAGAATGAGTATGAATGCGAAGTGTATGGGGGAATGCATGTAAGGCGATAGTGCGAGTTCGAATCCCAGGTAATGCCTGAAAAAATAGGAGAATTGAAAAATTTATAACATCCCTTTTCTTTTTTTGCCGTCATCAAGGCGGTAGACGGTGCGTATTACCCTCGACCGCACCTGTCCCGTACCTATCCCGTACCGTACCGTACAATCAAAGATGGCTGGCCACAATGCATATTCAAATAGGGCTCTCAAATACAAGATCATAACGTGAAGCAACTTGGAAGAATTAGTATGTATGCGAAGTGTATCGGGGGATGCATGCAGGGCGATAGTGCGGGTTCGAATCCCAGGTTTAATATGTCTAAAAACAAAAAGTAAAAAAGTAAAGTAAATTATCGTATCCGTTCCCGAAGGGAACTCACGACGGCCGCTAACACCCGATAAACCCTAGCGGCAGATGCAGCGCCTAACGGTGGGGGTGAGTGGGTAAGTCTCACAACCACTGGCACAAGTGCCGAAAGCGACCCCATTAGCTGCATCCATGTACCCCTTGTGCCTGGCCACAAGTTCCCAGTTGACTGTGGGTAGCAGCACGGCTGGAAAAACCGCTCCCAGGCAGGACTTGAACCAGGTACCTCTCGTATCTCAATCATGGTCTTTGACCAACCCACTGTGCCTGCCTGGTCTGAAACAAAAAGTAGACACTTATAAGAATTTATAACATCCCTATTCTTTTTTGTCTAGGTCATCAAGGCAAAAAAGCATAGCGTAGGGCCCTGAGCTTCCAAGCTCTCTCGTTATAAAATTAACCCCGTGCTCAGCTCTCTGCTGCCGCAGAAGTGTCAATGCAATGATTGTGCTGTTGTGTCTAGCCTGCTTCATGTGCTTTGACTAGTCCTATTGCTAGCGCTGTGTTTTGCTATTGTTATAATGTCGCGTATTTTTTCCCAGATATAACAACCCCTGCTCTTTCACCCGTAATGATTTTTCCCTTGGCTTTTCAACGCCCTAAACTGATGCATTATGTATACTGGACCTCTTTTTCTTGCCGTAGTTGTACCCGAAGATGCGTCTTGCCCGAAAACAATTGGATAATGTTTACTCTCTTCTATTGATTGATTTTGATTGATTTATTGATACTATATTTTTCAAGCACTCTCCAGAGGCAAATGAATGCCTATCAAAGGGAGTCTCCTTGGGAAAAGGAAGTGAAGGTGGCTTGGTGGAGCCCAGAGACCGTTCTGAAGTCTAGTGAAGAGTGTTGTGAAATGTGCGGTTTGAACATGTAGCCAAGAGACCATTTTTGGTGGGAGTGTTGTTTTCGGAAGATGAAGTGGCTACAGTGAAGCAGGGGCGTAGGAACCGGTGCAATAAATTCATTTTGTGTCTTTGAAGCAATGAAACATGGGCTAGTTGGGCCCAGTTTTCCAAAATTTCCATGGGAGCCCCCCCCCCTCCCCTTTCATAGCCGCACCAATGTTGAATATCTTCCAATGCCCCTGTGTAAGTCTTCTAAAACACCCTACGAATTGCTAGAAAGATGTGCTGGGGGCCTTCCTGCACCCAAGTACAGTGGAAATCACCTCGCGCATACTCTGATAAGACGTACACGTCCTAGTAGTACGGACATAGTCCAGAATACAGGAATACAGGTATACTCCTCTAAGTATGTTCGCATACTGTAAACTGCCTAATATTCGCGACGGATTAATGTTCGCTATTTTCGCGAGAAGAGCGTAACGCGAATATTAACCATCGTGAAATCAAACTTCAACAGTGGATGTATGCAAGTGGCCCCAGTGCTTCGCAAACTTTTGCCATCGCAAACTCGCTGGTTTGAAGAAATCGCGAAAATTTAGTGACCCGAACATTGGGCGGCTTACAGTATGAGGAGCTGCTTGTCAGCTGAGATTCCTGTTCCCTGTCGCATAATGTTTTAACCCGGCTGAGTCACAGTTCTACTGAGTACTGGTCATGTACCAGTATCCAGTAATGTGTAATATTTATTTATTTTGCTTTGTTTTTGTTTACTGCCATGGCTGGCTACCGCCCCCCCCCCCCCCTCCCTCCATATTGGCCTATATTCTCTGGCCACGGGAAGGTGAAATAAAAAAATAAATAAAAATAAAAAAATAAATCCTAACAGCTGAAAGTTCCCAAGGCTGAGAAGCAAGTCATGATGATGATGATGATGATGTTGATGCCGTTTCCTTGCAGCTCTAACGTCCCCATGCCGAACAGGTTGGACTGGTTACCGTGGAAACTGTTACAAAGTGTTCAACGAAAGCGCTAACAACATCTATCATACCCAGTCCGAAACGGTAAGATAACCTAGTAAAACAGGTTTATAAGCTTGACTAGCAATGAAATTGCAGTAAAACCTATAGCTACAGACCACCGTGACTAGCGACCAGCCTGGTACTTCAGACCACTTCGCCAGGCACGGACGGTCTCACATTCATACAGTATATGTAGGACTCAGTGACCAGTCAATGCCCCGTGACCAATCACGGTCCCCGTGACCAGTCAAACAGTCACAAAACCCCCATGACCAGTCACAAATTAGTTTACCAGTCACAATGCCCCATGACCAGTCACAAATCACCATACATTTACATGTGTAAAGTACACAGTTCGTGACTGCTCGCAGGGTGCTTCGTACTGCAGGATTTGTTGTGGAAACTATAATTCCCTATGAGCGGTCACAGAATGCAGTTGTGACCACTATAATTCAATGCGAACAGTTACATGCGGAATGTACAGTTGTGACCACTCTTTCTCTGTGAGTAGTCACAGGCAGAATATAGGTATTTCTGTATTACAAGAGAGATTGGAGGCTTTGTCACAACTCTGAGTTTCACGTATTACTACGATCGTCAGGCAACTGATGGCTCCTAAACGGGCAGCCTGAACATAAGAGGGAGCAAGGTGGGAAATTCTGAGGGGTATCATAGTGCAAGAGTCAGGTGCAGGCGTGAAGTTGCCAAGTCTTCAGACTTGGGGCTATGCAGCAGCAGTTCCAGCGTGAATGACATAGTATAGAGCTGGGGGCCACACATGCCCACACCATTACACACACATACACCCACGCTCTCTCCCTTTTCTCACATACACTCACACGCGCACACACACACACTCATTCTCTAAATCTCTCTCTCTCTCACATACGCACATATGTCATTCATTCTCTACATCACACACACACACACACACACCTGGCCTGGTGTACAGCTGCCAAATGCTTAGCCACGCCGCCCCCGAGACAGGGGGAGAGTAGAAGAGAGAGTTTGAGACACACACACACATCCACACACACACACACACACACCTGGCCTGGTGTACAGCTGCCAAATGCTTGGCCACGCCACCCCCGAGACAGGGGGGAGTAGAAGAGAGAGTTTGAGACACACACACACACATCCACACACACACACACACACATCCACACACACACATCCACACACACACATCCACGCACGCACACACAAACACACACACACATTCTCTAAACCTCTCACACACACACATTCTCTCTCTCTCTCTCTCTCTCTCTCACACACACACACACACTCTCTTTCTCACGCATGCACACACACACACACACACTCACACATGCGCGCGCACACTTACTCTCACACACACACACACACACACACACACACACACAAATAGGCAGCGGGACTACCAGCTAGATTCACGTGACCTTGCGGACAAAGTTACGGAGGTAGAACTTGTTTTCACGACGACACTTGGACACAAGTACTTCTGTATTATTATTTTATCTCTTTTCAACCAATCCACAAGCCAAGAAGAGATGCGTAGACGGAAGAACCGTACTCTTGGTGATACTGATCGCAAACATGATTAATTCCTCCAGGCCATTGAGCACCCAATTCTAAACCTTATCTAAGCAAAGCAGCATGCCAGTTCAAGAACATCTCGTCAGACATACATATCGATACATGTCTGGTGCACTCTCACTAACAAGCAGGCATCGCAGGCTACATTCGCACCAGCAATCAAAAGAAGTTGAAGTGAGTGAATATTTCTATAAAATTAATAATTGGAAGACAAATGAAGGTGTGGAGGACCGCCCAAAAACACTGACAAGGAGACAGTAAACGGTACACAGTACTCGTATGCATGTACTTATACACGTTAAAGCAGCACAACGAGAAAGACCATGATGCATAATGTTGCATCAATAAATTTTACAGAGTTATTTTGGGAGTAGAAATGAAGATGTGTTCGAACTTCGAAGCAGTAAACTGCGTAAGCACTACGTTGAGCCAGAATATTGAAATACAGTTTCCTGCAGTCAAAACAAGACACTCACACTTCTCTGGTCTAGTTCGCCATTCTTATCGATAAACATGACTTGATTTAATTTCTTACGATGGTCCTTGAGAATGGATCAATGATGTCTTGAATAGATGTCTTCCTGAACGACTTCAACTGAGAGGCAGTTTCAGTTTCAACAAGCTGGACATTGTTTTTTCTGTGGAGTCTTCCACAAGAAAGACAGAGCCACACACACGAAGGTGCTTGATGTACTCAGTACCTTCTTGGAAATGAACATATTTTCATTTCCATCTTCATTATATTTTCGTCTCTGCATCGTCGACGATGTCCACTTCTGACTCCGTAATCCTGTCACCCATCCTCTCCAAAAACACAAATCGAGTGCTGCTTGCATGCTGGATCAGTTGAAGTCAGTCTCTGCTCTAGCAAGATCGGCATGCAAATATTACATGACTGAAAATATTCCGAAATAGCTTTTCTGAACGACGAAGTTTGTTCTTCAAATATGATGAATAGCACAACCTACTAGCCAGAACGTCCTCTCAAAAGAGATTCTATCTGAAGCCTGCAAGATTTTCGACCACCTTTCGTTTTGGAGAGGAGCCCACACACACCAGACTCGAGCTACAAGTAAACTACGCGGAGATCGAGAGTTGATCGAAATCTTTCTTGCTCACTTCTGAAACCTGTGAAGGAAAAAAGTATGCTGAACGCGTGAATGCCTACAGTTGAGTCGTAATATTTTGACGTGGATCCTGTGACCGTTCACAGAGAAAGTCGCGGCTGTTTCTGACTGGTCATCGGGATTCAAACTGGTGTGTGACTTTATGACTGCTCTTCGGGGATTTGTGACTGTTTGATTGGTCACGGGGATCGTGATCGGTCATCGAGACGTGACTGCTCACTGAGTCCTACATATATTCTCTATTATAAGCACAGGTCTCCATTACTAGCACAGTCTCTAATACTAGCACACTGTGAGCACCTTTCGAAACATTATAAGCACAATCTCTATTATTAGCACGGTCTTGGTGGAAATCAATTCTGCATGCATGATATCTAGCATGTATTGCTTCTTGCTCTGTATGGATGTATTGGTTGAAAAAATATAAGCACGGTCTCCAATATAAGCGCGGGTTAGAGGGGTGTTGAAAAAATATAAGCACAGCGCTTATAATAGAGAATATACGGTATATGGTTGTGCGGTGCAAACCTCAAACTAAGGACCACCTGCCACTAAAGACCGCTTTCTCTGCCCCCCCCCCCCCCCCAAGGGGTGGTCATTAGTCACAGGTTTTACTGTAGTTAAACTCGGATGGCGAGCCAAGGATTAAAACTAAGAAGAAAAGACCAACGGTTTATGAATTGCCCATAGTTGTCCAACACTGACAATTACTTCAAGTATAAGCATGATATTGATTAGTCATAACATACACCAGTTAGTAAGTCTGTTAGCACAATGATGACTGTTTTTGTAATGATATACTGATATTCAACGACCTGACCATACTGGCCAACCCTCCCGTTTTTCCCGGGAAAATCCCGGAAAATCAACACTCCTCCCGGGGTGCCGGGGATTTCAAGCAAACTCCCGGAAAAACCAAAGTTTTGTCTGATACAGGATTTTCCTGAAAACTCCATGGTTTCTCCCCGAATGTCCCGGTTTTTTGAACTTTTTTCAAAGGTATGTACGGTGCTCATTCGCACTTCGAACTGTGCACAGCACTTTGAAGACCTGACCATGCAAGATCTGCACTGACAAAGTGACAGGCGGGCGCCGACTGATCAAACTGCACTTCGCGTACAGCCTAGTACAGGGTGGATGCACAGCTGCAGAGTCGAACGTTTTTTTGGCGGGAAAAGCTCTTTTTCACTTGTTTTTGTGCCATCCAGGGATTTTGAGAGAAATCCAGGGATTCTGCATGTCTTGTCAAGGGATTGAGATTGTGGTGGTTGGTCAGTATGCCTGACATCAATATCATGCTTATGCTTGAAGTAATTGCCAGTGTTGGACAACTGCGGGTAACTTGTAAACCGTTAGTCCTTTCTCCTTAGTTTCAGGAATGAAATTGTAAGATCGTTGGCTCCGTTACTCTGAGCTCAGCTGATTTCATATGTTAGAGAGTGTGGGGGAATGTGGAAAAAGTCTGAAGAAAGCACTGACTGTCCTGGCCAGGACTCGAGCCAGGGATCGCCCCCTCGCCAATTTCCAAAAAAATTATTACGAACTCTGGCTTATACAGTAAAGCCTGTAACTAAAGACCACCGTGACTAGCGACCAGCCTGGTGCTACCGACCACTTGGCCAGGCACGGACGGTCTCACATTCAAAATGCACTGTGACTAGCGACTACCTGCTGAACGCGACCAGCGACCGCCTTTTCTTGTCCCAAAGACGATTTTTGACCCGTAACTAGCGACCGCGATGTAGGAAATCAAATGTTGCTCGAAGCTCCTTCTTGAAAGTTAGTTTGCTGGTTTTCCATGGTCCTGAAAGGAATCTTTCGGTACTACAGCTGAAGAAATGAACGCAGACCATTTTGACTGTGGAGTCGGTGTGGACTGTACTACATCTGTCAGAATTTCCGCTGTCAAGAATAAACATGATAGGAAACGTCTTGGAGAGCGCATCGAAAGCGCTCTCTGCTCGATGTTACTACTCGGAAGAGAAACGAAAACTGAGCGGCTCTGTCACCCCAGTCATACAAATGAATCGACGATGGCGTCAAGGAATCCAGGAACAAAGCAGCACCGCAAGGTCCTGATGCTGAAGGATCGGGTTCAAACAATCGAGAAGTCACAACAAGGATAGTCGATACGATTGATCGCATGAACAAATTTGAAGCCCAGCGCAAAACGAAACTTCCACAGGGAACGTTTGACTCCTGGCTTCAGAAGTAGCAGCTGAATTAATCTTCTCTCTCTCTCTCTTTTTGTCTCTCTCCATCTGTCCGTCTTTCTCTCCAAGTGTTTGATCTGAAATAAGAATGGCATTGCGCAAGTCCTGGGGAATTGTATTAGCTGCATTTTGATATACATATCATTATAATGGGATCCATATATGGTCGCACGGTGCAAACCTCTAGCTAAAGACCACCTGCTACTAAAGACCGCTTTTGGGGTGGTCGGTAGTCACAGGTTTTACTGTACTTCGCATCCTCTAACACTGGGGCCGATCAACTTTGTTTTCGTCTTCGGGCAACGGTCCTCAGAATTTATCTGTAATGATGACGTCGTTGTGCATCCTTGCATGACTGGAACAAGTGTACACACTACGGGTTCATCCGTGCAGTTCGTACGATGCTAACGAGCGTCATGCATTGTACCAATGACAATGCCAATGGCAGCTATCCCGGTCTTTCCCGCTTACATGGTTTGGGAGCGTCGACAGCAATTGGTCTGGCTAGGAGTGTGGCTGAATGCACTAGTAACTGTGTTTGGAATAAGCAACAACAATCTTCTTCCTGAAATTAGCTCATCCATGTGAAAAATAGGAGTATTGCTAATTATTGATATGTCTCCATGAACTATAGTAGTCGTGCACTAGTGTATTTCCACCACACTGTATTAATCAATGTAGTTCTCCGGGTTTTGGTCCAGTTCTGCCAGACCCAGGGAGCATACCTTGTGAACATCGAGGACCAAGCGGAGAATGACTTTGTCAGTACCATGGTGCTGGGACATAACCTGGCGAATGTCTTCGTTTCCATCGGGCTGCAAGAGGAAAAGAACCGCAACACCTTCAGTAAGTATCTCTTATTAGCGATGGTGTCATCGTGAGAATAAAAAATTCAAAGTTCCGCATGAGCGAGTGAAGCCGTATCTAATCTGAGATTGATCTGCTATATGCTTGCTTGGTGTACATAGATGCACTGTGTTATGGGATACAAGCCGCACCAGTATGCATGTTGCGGATGCCTCGTCCTCTTGATTTACCTTTATTCCCACCATGGCTGTACCAAATAAGATAATAATTATTATCTTGAAATATGTGTTGGCAAGCATGTTGCTGGGTCCTCTCAGGGGCATAACGAAGGAACTTTAAGTATCTTTGAATTACTGTATTGGCGAATGTTACACAACCTTAGAAAAAATAGGTGTGTGCTTTGAAGTGCAATCATACCTCGGTTATCCGAACCCCGAAGTTACGGGCACTTCGGTCTACCGGGCCTTTGGGCAAGTTTTAGTGGAATTATTACTACTTTTTTGTCACTTTTCGTGTAAAATAGTGACGTCATATGCCATATTTATGGTCTTTCCCCATCAAAATGTATGTGATCCGGAGTTATGGACTTTTCAAAATCACGGGCAGTGCCCGGTCCCGGACCGCCCGGATAAGCGAGGTATGAGTGTAGGTGATCTATCATCTGCTCCTAACTAAGTTGATGGGCTCTGACATACTTGAACCGACCGTCCTTACTTTGTATCCTATACTGATCAAGACAGTCCACGCACAGTATCCTGTGTTTCTGTGTCGTCTCCATTGTCCATGTTCAGATGTGTGGCGTTGGTACCCGTCCGGTCGTCTGCCCACATTCACACAGTGGGCTGGGGGAGATGTCATGGGAGAGAACCGCTATGCTTACCTGGTGGTGGGAAGCGACCCCAGACTGTCCGTGTGGAGATCCTCGCACAACGTACGGGCAAAGTTTATGTGCGAAACTGGTAGGTTCTGTGCCAGTGGGGTTTCTAAGCACTGCGCTTTTCTGGCCCCTGCATGTAGCGTGCAAAGTACTGCCACCCTGCATGCTATTCCGTGAAGCATTTAGACAACCATCAATCCTCACACTGCCAGTTGTGTTCAATACAAATGAAAGTCACAGGGGAAAGGTAGATAGTCCTGCGCTTGAAATACTCTCACTGTGACCTCTGATCACTATTTGTTTACCGCCAATGTTGGGCTGGGGTTTCTGTCCGCACTTCAGGATCCATTTGGTCGCTTCCTGCGGCTTCATATCGGAGCCAAATGGGTTTGGGCGGACTGCCATAACTCCAATCCACACTGCTCTTCACTCTATAAAACCCATTGGGTTCTGTCTACACTTCATGGCTGCTCATAATGATAGCAGCCATTTGAAGCAAGTTAGAATGAAGGTTGATTTCAAATTTATGTTACGTTACAGACATTTCAGGCCAGCAAGATGATTGGAGTATGGAAGTTTGTAAAAAAATATTAAATAAATCCTGGCCCTAATAATGGTGTATGCTTGTCCAGGGTGTGGAAGTCCCCTGAGTTCTGGTGCGGCAGAGAACGTGCAGGTGACCGGTAACACAAGCTTCTCCGGTGCGGCCGTCACCTATTCCTGTCCACCCAAGCACTATCTACTGGGCCGTGCCCAGAGAATCTGCCAGGGTGACTCGCTATGGTCGGAAGAGGAGCCGGAATGCACCGATAGCACAGGTATGAATGGCTTACTGAATTAGAATGTACAGTCAACTTTGCATATAACGACACTCGGCGGGGCATCAGAAAAGTGTCGTTATTCGCGAAGTGTCCTTATACCCGAAGTCTCATTTCAGGTCTGCTCTCTCACTTGTACATAAACCTCGCTGGTACATAAAAAAAGTCTAATCCCGCGCCGAAACAGCATCACTCCCATACAAATTTCGTTCTACACAACATAATCCCACATAACATAAACCTCAACATAACACACGCTACGGCGCGGTCCCCCGACATGCGCACTCTCGATACAACATAAATTCACGTGCATGGTACGATCAAGCGGTAGCTGTAGCTAGCCAGTTTAGGCCAGTTTAATCCTACATAACGTAAACCTCGGCATAACACCTGATTAACAGATTTTATTGGACCTTGTTTTATCCTTAAAACTGGTAGTTCATGACGGCATGTGCGATATGTCGTCATGAAACCACCCCATGCCACACCTGCAATGTTCTTCTGCACATTTACTGCTTTTTTTAAATATTTATATCGTTGTTATTGGTCGTGATGACCAATAACAACGGCTTAAAAGGCACACATTTTCAAATCCTATAATTATTATAGGATTTTCGGCCAGCAAATTAAGAGATATCCGCAGTCGTTATTAGCGAAGTTGACTATATTTCCGATGAGTCTATCCATGCTGATCGGTACGGGTTCTATTGTACTAAATTTTCGGTGGTGTAATATTTTCGGTATTCTCCAAAATCGGCGGTTCGGTGGAGGGAAATTTTCGGTAAAACGCGTTTTCCAGGTAAGTACACAGTACCGGTAGTACCAAAATTTTCGGTGCGTATTATTTTCGGTAAAAATTGTCGGCACCGAAGTTACCGAAAATAAAACACCGCCGAAGAGTTCTGCTTTTCAGTACTAGTTCACAGTTTCACTTCTCATGGCTGATGATTACTATTCTATTTTCAAAACTATACATCGCAGATACAACTATTGCATCAGCGACCTGTGTGTGCGACGTAGAAACTCAGGTGGTATTGAACCAGGGATGTATTTATGATATGACTGTACGGATTGTGCGCTGTACCAGCAGTTCTTGAAACTGTAGTAACTACTGCATGAGTTGCAAAGAAATTATAACTGTGTATCATGCATCATACACCATACATCAAACACCACCCACCGCCCACCATACATCACCCACCATACACCATACACCATACACCATACATATTACACCATCCACTATCCACCATATGTCGACCACCATCCACTACCCACCATACATCAAACACCATACACCATACGTCATAATACATAATACACATTATCTTTCTCCAGCCTGTCCTGATGGCTGGCTGCAGTACGACACCAACTGCTACCGTGTATTCAGTGACGTCAGCCGCTCCTGGGATGAGGCACAGGCGGCATGCAGCAGCAGCAACGGTGCCTACCTTCTAAACATCGCTGATCAAGCCGAGAATCTGCTGATAGGCAAGATACTGTACACACAGAATCTCCTTTCGTAAGTATAGTATAACCTGATAAGGCAATAGGGCTTGAAAGTGATGACGTCAAAACGGCCAGGGAGTAGTAAGTTGACATCAGATTTCTAATTTTGGATCCACTAAGGTGCGACTTTGCTAGATAGCTTTACTGAGTTTACGTACATAGCCCTTTTTAGGGCTTGAAAGTGATGACGTCAAAACGGCCAGGGAGTAGTAAGTTGACATCAGATTTCTAATTTTGGATCCACTAAGGTGCGACTTTGCTATTGCCTAAGTATGTGGGTGCATAGCAACCCACTCATGTCGCATGCAGGTGTGACTTTTATTTCGCCACCAGTTGTAACCCCGCCCCAGTAGCCAAATCAGTCAGTTTCACTGGCTACATCACCATGCTGTGGGTAAGACCGCTTGAAATGTGCTTGGATCCATACAAAAACTGGATCCAAGTGGATCCAGTTTTTGAATTTTTGAAATTGTTGCTATGCTGTGACGTAGCACTTTCAAGCCCTATGTGATCACTCTGATAAGGCGACCACCTGTCCCAGAGGACCACTACAACCAGGACCAAGGGGTGTTATTTCCAGTCAAACGACGCTGGATAAGAAGACCACCTATACACGGCGACCACATTTTGAAGGTCCCTCCAGCCTATCCAGGGGTCGGCTTTCACAGACTTCACTGCAATGCACTTGTGAATGCAAGCCGTTACTTTAGTCGGCTTACCGGCCTCAAGGTTGTACTGTGGCAACAAGATACTACACTGGGGCGTGTTTGCTTGCATGCCCACCCTGGGAATATGCTTATGAATGCAAGCCGTCACGTAATGCAGGAAATTGTTTTGGGAACACCTGTTCCGCAAGTTGCACGCTCGAAAGTCCAAACAGCAATGACATGAAAGAGACATTGTACAGGATTTTGAAGGGCGCGTGCCCACGTGACTCGCGCATGCGTGCAGGTAGGGTCAGCTCGCTGGGCTGGCTGCTAACTCGCGTTAGCATGCTAACGCTCATTAAAACCGTATTTGGGATTATTTTCCTTCTCACGTTGGGAACACACGTGCATGTTTACACTGTTATGACCGTATGATATTAAATGGCATCTAAGAGCATATTCCCACAAACCATGTAAGCCATACCAGGAATGATGATAGAAGGATGGATAGTAGCAACTCTACTAGTCCTTTTCTTGTGACCATTGTCGATCATAACTGACAATGTATCATTGACACTACACTTTCAGCAAAGAGTAGCATGAATTTCACCTCTGGTCCTGCTGTTGTCTTTATTGTGACTCAGAACACAATTCTGGATCGGACTGAGTGAGGAACGTCTGTTTAGCACTAATGGAGACTGGAGATGGAGGCCTCGTGGCAATGCCCTGCTACCGGGCTTTGAGGCTTGGGCACCGTCCGAACCTCAAAACCTCTACCCATGGGACTGTGCTACAGTGAAGCTGTCCGTCGACAGTTTCTCGCAGCCGGAGTGGTATGACTTCCGCTGTGATGAGTCCAAGCCGTTCATTTGTGAAAGAGGTACAGTAGACTGCACATACAGTAAAACCTGTAACTAAAGACCACCTTGACTAGTGACCAGCCTGGTACTACAGTAAAACCTGTAACTAAAGACCACCTTGACTAGTGACCAGCCTGGTACTACAGTAAAACCTGTAACTAAAGACCACCTTGACTAGTGACCAGCCTGGTACTACAGTAAAACCTGTAACTAAAGACCACCTTGACTAGTGACCAGCCTGGTACTACAGTAAAACCTGTAACTAAAGACCACCTTGACTAGTGACCAGCCTGGTACTACAGTAAAACCTGTAACTAAAGACCACCTTGACTAGCGACCAGCCTCGTACTACAGTAAAACCTGTAACTAAAGACCACCTTGACTAGTGACCAGCCTGGTACTACAGTAAAACCTGTAACTAAAGACCACCTTGACTAGCGACCAGCCTCGTACTACAGTAAAACCTGTAACTAAAGACCACCTTGACTAGTGACCAGCCTGGTACTACAGTAAAACCTGTAACTAAAGACCACCGTGACTAGCGACCAGCCTGGTACTACAGACCACTTTGCCAGGCACGGACGGTCTCACATTCATATATGGTTGTGCAGTGCAAACCTCTAACTAAGGACCACCTGCCAATTAAGACCGCTTTCTCTGGTCCCAAGGGGTGGTCGTCAGTCACAGGTTTACTCTACATGGATATCAAACTTGCATACAGCTAACTCTCAGTCTGTGATGCAGAGACACTTGTATCATGTTTTCGTTTGAACACATGATAACGTGTGCCCTATATGCAATGTAGCAAACTGAACAACGGCTTGAACCATATCTCCATATCTCACTGTGTAGCTGTGCCTACTTCAGAATCGTCCTTTATGATTATTGTCTTGGCAAACAACAATTCGAAGTAGGTTTGCAAGCCAACTAGTCAATGTGTATCCGTGCTCGTTTGTGTTGTCGCGCATGCTTGCTGTTGTAAAGGCTGCCACGAGCCGGATGGTATCAATCCGGACCTTGTTCAGACGAACGGCAACAGCACGGGTGTCGACTCATCGCTCACCTATCGATGCAGTGATGGCTACGAGATTGTTGGTGACACCACGATAGTATGCTTACACGGCGGACACTGGGACGCAACGCAAATACCAACATGTGAACCGGCCCGTGGTGAGTACACAGTCCGCTTTGGTTATTCACACAAACCAATAGCATCATCTCAAAATGGAAACCTTGGCCATAGCTATTTGCTACGATGCATAGCTATTTGCTACCATGCATAGCTATTTGGTACTGTGCATGTGATTAGAGGATCTGACGATCCAACATACCATACCCCTAGAAGTATCCTGGGCCCAAGAACCTTACTTGGATATACTTCTTTTTTTTTAAGTATATGTAGGACTCAGTATAGAGTCCATGCACTATATGATGTCCAGCACCCTATATAGAGTCCATTGGTCCAAAATCCACTATACAGAGTCCAGGAGTCCACTCAGTTTTGATCAGCTTCATCCTGCCGCGCAATCCCCTATAAGGAGTACACTTTTTCTACAAGTCCCCTATTCACGGTCCAGGAGTCCAGTTTATCCAGTCACGCCGTCCTGTGTGTTGTGTCCGAAATTGAAGAGAACAAACACCTTTTCAGTTTTGCTTGCCTCGTGGCAGCGCATTCCTTTCTTCACTTCAGCCATGGCTGCCAGTTCTGCTGTGCAGTTGCTGACAGTAATCTGTCTCGAGGTAACCAAGGAGGATAAGGAGACGTTCAAAATCAAATCTGGACACGTGTCTTGTGGTTCTCTGAAGACGTTTCATCAGTGCGCGGGATGAAAGCAGAAATTGCAGAACGAGAAAAGTTCAGCACAGTTCAAATCTGACGAGTCAGGTACACTGACACTCTCTTTCGTTCGACGCCACAAGGATCCCCTGTTTGGCTGGCCATTGCTGCCAGTAAGGCGTTTGAACGGTTTCATCAGAGCGAGGGATGAAAGCAGAAAGCGGAGAACGAGAAAAGTTCAGCACAGTTCCAATCTGACGAGTCAGATACACTGACACTCTCTTTCGTTCGACGCCACAAGGATACCCTGTTTGACTGGACAAGAGCTGCCTGTACCACCGTGTCAAAAGGCTGTCCAACTACATGGCAGGACGATGACTGAGGTAAGGAAGCTTTTACTCGTTTCGATTGGTTTGCTGTTCTGTCGTTATGCTTGAATTTTTTTCCATTTTCAAGGATCGTATCGCGTTTGTTTGATGTTGCTTGAATGAATGCCCTAAAAGTAATCAACCACTTCGTAATAGTCCTCAAGGACTGCAAGGACTTTGCATCAATTGTATACGCATACGATCGTCTAGCTATCATCAATTATTATTTTATTTCATGAGAAATGTATTTTTATCCCTGTGATAATTATGTGAACTTCACGACACTCTTCCTCTACTAGGCTCTAGTATGATGTCAAATACAATGGGATCCACAAACGCAGTGCCAGTGTACTAGTAGTAGTAGTAGGAGGAGGAGGAGGAGGATTTCTCGTATGCCGATGACAAGAAAAAGCTTCTCAAGCTAATACATGTACTCGTATTCCATGAAGTAACCGTTTTGATGTCACAAACATGACATTGTGTCAGTGAAACTGCCTCGTGACAACAAATCATTGCATTTCCATCTTGGGGAAGACTGACTGACGGCAACGCTGTACAGATTGTTCAAATCATCTCATTTCAATTTAGTTGCAGTGAAGTGAAACACTGTGTACACTACATGTATGGTGGTGTGTCTGTGCATCTTGAGTGTGCACAAAGGATCTTACTGTAAGACATGTTATTATAACGAGTCGCAAATTTAACGATTGTCCAAAAATTCATAGGTTAACGAGAAGATAATGTTAACGATCTTGCAGTATTCTGCCATATCCACACATAGCATAATATGAATCAGTACGGCCTCAACGGATCTTATTATAACGAAGAAATGTCATCCGTTAAAACGTTAGATTTGCTTCCTCGTAATATTATACATGTCTTACAGTATTCCTCGTATTGCTAATAGATTATTGTCCCCACCGTCACCTGTTCACAGGTCTTTGAGTGGATGGATTTTCATTGAGCATTACATTCGTTGAGAACTTGGTAGTTGTGTGCTTCCATGCATCATTACGGTAATACGCGTATCCTTGTGCTATCTATTTGTTGCAGGTGTGCTGATCTTCAGAAGATTGCGGAACTGAGTGCTGCTGAACATTTGCATGGCCATGAGCAATGGTGAAGCTTGCTATTGCACTCTCAGCATGTCCTAGTATTATGCTGACTACTGCACTATGTTACTCTCTTACGCTACTACACGTATGTAAACGTGCGCGCATCCGCCCACGTATGCATTCGTTTCGTATAATTATTTGATTCCAAGTTTGGACTCTGTACAGTGGATTTTGGACCAATGGACTCTATATAGGGGTTGGACATCATATAGGGGCTGGACGCTCTACTGAGTCCAACATATATCTAAAAGTATAATTTGAAACTCGGGTATTGAGCCAATAATAAAAGTAGAAAGGAAAAGGACATATGGAAACGAGTTAAGAGTAACTCTCCACCACTGTAACTAGATACTATATACAGTCAGAAAGTGCAACAACTAGGCACAAAACTGACAGAGTACTGAGACATTCGACGTCCTGACACCCAGCTTCAACACATCTCCGTAGCGCTAACCGACAGCCTTCCAACTTGGAAGGTTCAAGGTTATGGAAAGACCAAAGAGGGGAAGGCAAGCGCAACGAAAACGAGCACAAGCTACAGTCCCAACGGAACAAAGAATGTCGATTGTCACTGGACGATGACGAGACCAGTAGGCGATTTGACAAAGCGGTCTAACTACAATTCGAAGCAGCAAAGCAGCACACCACCCAACTTGGGTGGGTCAAAAATATCAAAGATAAGTTAAGAAGGGGGAAGCTTTGCGAGAACGAATTGTACAAGCCGAAATCTAAACTCCTACAGTACTCCTCATGCATGACATTGTGACGGACTAGTTGACTACAAAACAAGTTGTTTCACACGACGTACGTTTCGCCGTATGGTTCGTGACGGCTCATCAGGTGTGCAATTTGAAACTCGGGTATTGAGCCAATAATAAAAGTAGAAAGGAAAAGGACATATGGAAACGAGTTAAGAGTAACTCTCCACCACTGTAACTAGATACTATATACAGTCAGAAAGTGCAACAACTAGGCACAAAACTGACAGAGTACTGAGACATTCGACGTCCTGACACCCAGCTTCAACACATCTCCGTAGCGCTAACCGACAGCCTTCCAACTTGGAAGGTTCAAGGTTATGGAAAGACCAAAGAGGGGAAGGCAAGCGCAACGAAAACGAGCACAAGCTACAGTCCCAACGGAACAAAGAATGTCGATTGTCACTGGACGATGACGAGACCAGTAGGCGATTTGACAAAGCGGTCTAACTACAATTCGAAGCAGCAAAGCAGCACACCACCCAACTTGGGTGGGTCAAAAATATCAAAGATAAGTTAAGAAGGGGGAAGCTTTGCGAGAACGAATTGTACAAGCCGAAATCTAAACTCCTACAGTACTCCTCATGCATGACATTGTGATGGACTAGTTGACTACAAAACAAGTTGTTTCACACGACGTACGTTTCGCCGTATGGTTCGTGACGGCTCATCAGGTGTGCAATTTGAAACTCGGGTATTGAGCCAATAATAAAAGTAGAAAGGAAAAGGACATATGGAAACGAGTTAAGAGTAACTCTCCACCACTGTAACTAGATACTATATACAGTCAGAAAGTGCAACAACTAGGCACAAAACTGACAGAGTACTGAGACATTCGACGTCCTGACACCCAGCTTCAACACATCTCCGTAGCGCTAACCGACAGCCTTCCAACTTGGAAGGTTCAAGGTTATGGAAAGACCAAAGAGGGGAAGGCAAGCGCAACGAAAACGAGCACAAGCTACAGTCCCAACGGAACAAAGAATGTCGATTGTCACTGGACGATGACGAGACCAGTAGGCGATTTGACAAAGCGGTCTAACTACAATTCGAAGCAGCAAAGCAGCACACCACCCAACTTGGGTGGGTCAAAAATATCAAAGATAAGTTAAGAAGGGGGAAGCTTTGCGAGAACGAATTGTACAAGCCGAAATCTAAACTCCTACAGTACTCCTCATGCATGACATTGTGATGGACTAGTTGACTACAAAACAAGTTGTTTCACACGACGTACGTTTCGCCGTATGGTTCGTGACGGCTCATCAGGTGTGCAATTTGAAACTCGGGTATTGAGCCAATAATAAAAGTAGAAAGGAAAAGGACATATGGAAACGAGTTAAGAGTAACTCTCCACCACTGTAACTAGATACTAACTAGATACTATATACAGTCAGAAAGTGCAACAACTAGGCACAAAACTGACAGAGTACTGAGACATTCGACGTCCTGACACCCAGCTTCAACACATCTCCGTAGCGCTAACCGACAGCCTTCCAACTTGGAAGGTTCAAGGTTATGGAAAGACCAAAGAGGGGAAGGCAAGCGCAACGAAAACGAGACCAGTAGGCGATTTGACAAAGCGGTCTAACTACAATTCGAAGCAGCAAAGCAGCACACCACCCAACTTGGGTGGGTCAAAAATATCAAAGATAAGTTAAGAAGGGGGAAGCTTTGCGAGAACGAATTGTACAAGCCGAAATCTAAACTCCTACAGTACTCCTCATGCATGACATTGTGATGGACTAGTTGACTACAAAACCTGACACCCAGCTTCAACACATCTCCGTAGCGCTAACCGACAGCCTTCCAACTTGGAAGGTTCAAGGTTATGGAAAGACCAAAGAGGGGAAGGCAAGCGCAACGAAAACGAGACCAGTAGGCGATTTGACAAAGCGGTCTAACTACAATTCGAAGCAGCAAAGCAGCACACCACCCAACTTGGGTGGGTCAAAAATATCAAAGATAAGTTAAGAAGGGGGGAAGCTTTGCGAGAACGAATTGTACAAGCCGAAATCTAAACTCCTACAGTACTCCTCATGCATGACATTGTGATGGACTAGTTGACTACAAAACAAGTTGTTTCACACGACGTACGTTTCGCCGTATGGTTCGTGACGGCTCATCAGGTGTGCAATTTGAAACTCGGGTATTG